ATGGCGAGTAAGACGAAAACCAGTTGTTAGGCTGGTTGTAGGCATGAAGAAGCAACGCTCACGGAACTCCCATGATAGGATGAATGTAAGGATACAGATTGTTCGAGCCAGCATACCCCTTGGATAATGCGTCCAATGCCCAATATCAGCACGAGCAACCCGTCTTGGCAGAAATAAGATGAGATCGATCTGATCCCAATGGACAAGAAGATCTGCTGCGAATCTGCGTGCTGGCTGCTTATCAAGTACAACATATCTGTACTCACATACTTGCTTAAAATCGTCGTTATCTGGCCCTCCAGACGTGGATTTTGCAGTCCCAATTACCCCTCGCTTAACTTCCGCTGTAAAATAGATATTCAGCCATGTCCGATATTGCATGCTCTGCCCCTCGCCGCGAGGCGGACTGTCCAACACAACCAGGTCTGGTTTGAGCGGTGAACCATGGACAGCATGATCTTGGTGATCCTCTACCACGTACCGTCCGTCCGGTAAAAGCTGTTGCAGGCCAGCAGTGATATCTGGAAGCAACGCTCTCAGTTCTTGAAGACGTCCGATAGTCTCATCTCTACGCTCAACTCTGGCATGATAATCGGCCCAGGCAGCAGTAGCCTCAGGAGACTGGTCATTTCTGGGGTATTCGGGAGGTGTCTCCACGGCTGGATTTGCAGGCACATCAAAGCCGTCTTCATTCAAAAGTCGTAGCAACCTCAGAAAACAAGCAGCAACTTGCCTCTCTGAAATCTGGCGGCGACTGCGTCCACGAAAGGTAGTTGCCCATTCATGAGGGAAAAATCCTCATTGGAAATGAATCGCGTAATATTATCAATGAGCTCTGCGTGATTATGTTCGAATGCTGAAAACTGTTGCTCATAACCAATCTCTTCGAACAAATCCCTAATGTCCATCGCTCCATACGTACGGGACGCATCCTCTGCTAGTGGAATGCGCCGGGTCTCATGATGCCGCCCATCATTCTGTCGAAAGGGAGTAACGTAAACCGGTGTCGATGGTCGAATAGTATCCGCCATGAGGATTCTGGTAGCCTTAGGGTTGTTGAAAATGCAACGGTGTGTTCTATAAACTCTGCGAGGTGCTCGTTTGGTATGTGTGTAGAAGGAAGAGTAGAATAGATGGAGGGATACGTTTATAAGGAATCCGTCTACAGGATCAAAAAGTAGAACAAGGTTGAGGTATTCCAGTAAGGATAGATCTAAACTAAACTCATCAACGTGTGAGAGGTGATGGAATCACTGGTGTTTACATTCGGGATCAGGAATCCCCATGCGGCGCCATGGACAATGCTGAAACGCATGTGCACAAAGACCCAGGCAGAAAACCAGCTTTCCTTCTTCCCCTCAGTCATTTTTTGGAGAAGTTATTTTGTTCCATATATTCGATAACCACTCATTCCCCAAGTTAACAGACACCTTTTGAAGCAGAAAATGGCGTAAGTATCAAGCATAGTACGACCATACACACCTTGTTAAGCCGGCATCGTCAGCAATGTCTATGGAGACATCTCGTTATTGCCACTAGCAAAACAATAATTCATCTTATTCCGTGGGTTTCGGCTACCTCCATGGATATTTGTATGGTGGTTTAAGTCGTAAAAGTATGATGATGCTAGGTAGCGTCCCATGCTACACCCAACGGCAAACTACACCTGCTCAGTTTCAAACTGATGACATCCTTGCTTCCTTGGTACTCCCTTGACATGTAGCAAGAAGCAGCATGGTTCGTTGCTTGAATTGATTGCAGCACTAAACCGAATCAGCCAATTTGGTGCTTTGATGGCGCAGCCAGTTTTGGAGCATTTCAGCAATTTTATTTACAGCATATAAAGGCTGGCCGTTTGTTGCGCAGCAGCAAAGGCGCTTTTCTTCTCACCAGACCTAGCTCACAGCGATTCTTCATTACTCTACTACTTTTGCAATGACACTAAGCGACGATTATATTGCCATGCAAGATGATCCTTGGCGCGATCCATATCTGACAGACGAAGAGAATGTTTCGCCAGTTAGGCTGAATAGGCCAAAGCCCAGTCTTCTTGTCACCGAAATCGGCAAGAAACCAACGTCTGAAATGAAAAGCCAGTGGGAGTCAGATGTGCGCAACGCAACGGTGGATGTGGACCTTCAAAGCATGTTTGATTCCCTTGGCCTCCTGGAGAAGTTTCGCGAGTTTCAGGCATCGCATGGCACTGCTATAGCCAAGCTTGCCGACAAGATTTGTGCCAGGGACGTCCTCAAGGGCATGTGGTTTGCATCTGACACAGGCACCAGACGTGAACTCGTGCGCTTCATTGACAGGTACCTCCACTTGGTCATGGACGAGCTAGCTCCAGGTGTGTTACCTTTTGACATCGTCAACCACGACTGGCGCTCCATCTTCGACACTGAGCTGATGCCTGGTCTCCTTGTCGGCTACCCTGACCGGGCCAGTGTGGATGAAAATCGTCGCTTCATGCTTACACTGCCCGATATCTACATGGTAGTGGTTATTTCAGGACATGGTCTAATCAACAACTCCAGCGAGGGCAAGGATATGGAGAAGATGTGTGCCTGTGTGCGCGGTATGTGGGCAGTCCAATTTACTCGCGCGTTTATCCCAGCACTGTACATCGACGACGACTTCAATGCCACTCTGTATGTCTTTACTCGTGGCAGACTCCTGCGCACTGTGCTTGGCTCGCTCGTGGATACCAACAAGGACACGCTCATCAGCCTGATTACACCACTGGCGTTTCACCTTCTACAGACAGAGCACTTTGGGAGGTTCTGCAACTGGTATGATGAAATGTCAAGTATGAGACTCACTCATCGTGCGCCAGTAGATACTAACTCCAATTTTGCATCTCGCTATGCGCAGCCGGTGGATATTGATACTCTGATTTCTTTTCCCAACTCACCACAAGACTACTTCCTCCGGTTCCCGCGTCACAAGCCTGGTGACACCACCATCTTCGGGCCGTTGAACACACTCATTATCTCAAACGTGGGCAGAATCAAGAAGCTGATCCTACTTTCCTGGTATCCCAAGTCTAGTCGCACATGGGGCACCATTGGCGGTATTGAGGATGCACAGAGCGCCTGTCTGATTCCCAAGGTTCTCGACTGCGGCATCATCGTAGAGGATCTGCTTGGATATCGCCTCGAGTTTATTTCCTTTGTTTACAGCGGCGAAGACACCGATCCGATCATGAAGGAGCTCCTCAGGCTGAGGGACGGAAGTGCGCAGACGATGGTTGACCAGCACGGCAACCAGACGCTGGCTCGTGAGAAGCGCAGACTGTCTGACCACCCCGATGCTAGCGGGTCTTCTACTGAGCAGCATGTCCCCCATCACAAGGTGCCCAGGCACCACTAGTCTTCCACCCATCCACTTTACTTTTTCTTCTTGTTTCTTTCAAATAACAGCATTCCTGGCCATGGAAAGGCGGTGGTGATCGTATGCACGCCGTGAGTAAACATGCATAGCAGCATGTACATGTCTGAGGCATACGGTGGTCTCCATGGTGATGATGCACATGGTGTAGATGCTTGGAAGATGCACGTTCAATGTGGAAAACATGGATTGCAGCAGAGAAACTAAAAGAAACAAAACAAAGCTAAGCGCCAGTCAGCTGCATATCAAGGGTAACCCTTTGCTGGCCGAGCCATGAAGCCGGGGTACCTGCCTGCCGCGCCGACGGCAAGCTGCCCATGCCACTGGAATGGCCGAAGCCGCTCTGGCGCTCAAGCTGGCGCTGCAAGTTGAACCACGCCGACGCCATCGTGCAGAGAAAATACATGGGTACAAATTGTGGCTCACACCTTCACTGACAATTATGATTTTTTGCGCAGCCAGATTAGGGAGAAAATAATCCGCAGCCTTGGTTTAGCCTGTGGCTACAACATAAAAAGCCGACCCATCGTCGCCCTTCTGTTTGCCATCCACACTTTTCCTCCTCACCGCTTTTCTCTATAACTAAGAATGCTTGTTTCTCTTCCTCCTTCGCCGTTCCACGCCGACTGCACGTTCTGTGACATCATCAAGGGCGAGACGCAGTCATGCAAGATCCTCGAAACCACTCTGACGACGTCATTCCTCGACATCCACCCGCTGTCCGAGGGCCACATCCAGATTGTGCCCAAGCACCATGCCGACCGCATGCACGAGCTGCCGGACATGTACCTCATGGACGTGATGCTGGTGGCGAAGAGAATCGCACTGGCGATGGGGCTTGAAAGCTACGACATCCTGCAGCGCAACGGGTCGCTTATTTACCAGCAGGTGTCGCATGTCCACTATCACCTGGTGCCGAAGCCCAAGCCGCGCCAGGGCCTGCGGGTCGGCTGGCCCAAGAACTACCTGCCGATGGAGGAGCTGAAGGGCGTGGCCAATGCCATCAGGGACAAGCTGTACCAAGAGTCGCTGTGCGCAGCCATGAAGAGCAGCAGCCTGTAATTTTTTTCTCTATTTGCAGATTATACTGGTAGCCTAGCCATTTTCCAATTTCTACATGATGATCCTTGGCTTAAAGGGGTGGACGCGCTAATCAAATCGCTGCAAAGGAGTTTCTTTAGAGCGTACTATTTCTAGCAACCGTGCTTGGCGCAACCGCGACTGTTCTTTTTCTTTTCCCACTGCCATACAACTTGCATTTCATTTTTCTTCTTTTTGAAATTAACTTCAGCGAATCTCACAGATGTCCTTGCCATTCAACGTACAGCAGGCCGGCAGCCGGTTCGGCGTGGAGGACCCGATGAGCGACGACCCAGGGCTATTCAAGCTCTCGCGCTCGGAGCGGTACATGGCGTTTGGGGCGTGCTTTGTAATCGGGCTGGTGCTCAGTGTGCTGGGCACGGTGCTTATATTCTCGAGCAACATGGCGGGGTTTGCGGTGTGCTATTCGCTGGGCAACGTGATATCTTTGTTCGGGATGGGGTTCCTGATTGGGTTTAAGCGGCAGCTGAAGATGGCAACGCAGCCGGTGCGGCTGACGGCGTTCATCGTGTATATTGTGCTGCTGGTGCTGACGTTTGTGGTAGCGTTTGCGTGGGGCATCCCGGTGCTGTGTCTGGTGATGGCGATCTGCCAGTTCTGCGCGCTGGCGTGGTACTCGGCGAGCTATGTGCCGTTCGGGCGCAAGATGATCAAGGGCGCGTGCAGCTCGTGCGCCAGGGCGATTTGAGCAATAGCCCCACCTGCGACATTTCTTTCTGTATATTTTGGTTGAATTTATCGTTTTTTCAGTTTCCCAAAAATAATCGGCATGATATGATGTCGGACAGGGTAGCATTCATGTGAAACATGCAAGGAGTTCTAGTCGTGGCCGTCGTAAATGTTCCAGGTAGAGATCCACTTGCGGTTCGCCAGCTCCTTGGCCGGGTAGTCGAAGCCGAAGGTGAACGGAGCAAAGAACATAAAGTTGGCAATGGCGGCGAGTCCAAGCACGGCCAGCACGGTCTTGTTCATACGCGAGGTCACAGAGCCCGAGAGGCGGGCGGCGTTCCACTCGAGCAAGAAGGCCAGGTACATGGCGGCAAAGTACACGGCTGGGAAGTAGTGGTGCAGATAGGTGACTCTGCCCATGATGAAGAACGGCAGGTAATGCAAAGCCCAGCCGCCCCACAGAATGGCCGACACCAGCGCGTAGTTCTCAAGCGCGCCGGGGTTGCCGTTGAAGTCGTCGATTCCGCGCTGGCTGCGGATGGCGAAGTACAGGATCTGGATGGGGCCGGCGATAAAGACGGCCAGGGAACTGAGCCACCAGACGACCGGGTTTCCAGTGAGCCAGAACTTGACGCGGTTGTCGTTCCACCCGCACATGCGCAGACCCAGGCGCATGATGGGCCACTCGTAGGGCGCCGACGTCAGCGAGTCGAACTTGTCGGGGTCCGGCAGCAAGGCATTGTTGGTGCGCGCCATGGCCTTGTTGAGCCGCACAAAGTCGCGCAGGAACGAGCTGCGCAGTTCGCCGGGCCGGGCATTGGGCAGCAGCGGGTTGACATGGTTCTCGATGTTCCAGATCGAGTTGTCGTCGATTTTGCCGCTGCGGTCACACACAATCTCGGCCTGCTTCCACCCCCACTGCGGCAGCGACTTGCCCGAAGCACGCAAGAGACAGCCCTGCTGCACG